TTGAGCTTTATTATTCCACAATGTAGTGTCAAGAAGAAATGCAAAGCAACTTATTTTATGGGCAAAATTAAGTAAATATTTTTCTTTGAAAGCACAAAGTCATTTGAGCTTTGATTGCAATACTTTTTTTTTTTTTTTTCTCACCTGCACATTTTATGCAAAACATTTTAACTGAAGCAATATTGATTTATGCAAGTTATAAAATCATAGAATATTTTGGGTTGGGACAACTAGACCAACCCACCTGCAATAAGCAGGGATTTCTTCAACTAGATCAGGTTGCTCAGAGCCCTGTCCAATCTGACTCTGAATGTTTCCAGGGATGGGCCATCTACCACTACCACCTCTCTGTGTTTCACCACCCTCATTGTAAAAATTTCTTCCTTATACCCATTCCGAATCAACCCTCTTTTAGTTTAAAACCATTACCCCTTGTCCTGTCGCAAGAGGTCCTACTAAAATGTTTGTCCCCATCTTTCTTATAAGCCACCTTAAAGTATTGAAAGTTAGTACAAAGGAATTGATTTTTGAAAATAACAACTCAGAAAAGGGAGATGTGTTGAACACACCTTACTTCACAACCCATTTCTAGACTTTCTTAGCACAGATAGTTTTGTCACAGTCTTACACAGTGCTAATGGGCTTCATCATCAGTCAACACTTACTTTCCAAGTACATATTGATCAGTTCAGAAAAGAAACGGAAAGGTAAGATGAACCACTTATAGTGTCCTTCCTAAACTAATCTGCTATTCCTTTGCTGGAATCGCAGCTTACTCAGAGTAAGCAAGGTGGATAAGAACTAACTGAGCTTAAATAAATTGAGGAAAGCATAATGTGACATATGATATAGTAAGGGCAGTTAACATGAAGAGATATTCCAGATTACGTTTTTCTCAAAAAAAAAACACTGTTTCACTCAAGTTATCTAAATTAGTGGTGGAGGAGCTATATATATTGACTGCCATTCTTGTGGCCATTTAACAGAGAAACTGAAAAGTTTCAATTATTTGCAGGCAATTCATGTAAAAACAGTGTCTTAACAAGTTATGCTGCCTTCTGTTAAACCACGTTAAGCTCTTTTCACAGAAGGTTAAAGTTTCCTAACTATTTTTTTTGTGTAAATTTTCTTGTTCTAAGATAGCACCTTTGAAAAAAATATCATGCTTTTACATCAGCAAACATCTGTTGTTTTTCTTGCCAAAGTAGGATATCTCATACCCTCTGACAGCAAAAACTAAAATAACTACTTCAATTCTCAGAGTGACTGCAACGCAAATCACAGGCTTCACCGAAAAGTTAAAGGGCGGTATCAATTTCAAATAATAGCTCTAACTGAAAAATATTTTAACCATGTCGTTCTTCCCTTTCTTTATTTGGTTCAATAGTTTTTCTTTGTTTTGGATATTTGTTTAAAAGTTTTAATATGCAAGTAAATACCAAGAAATTTCTATTTCTGTGTGCAGACTTCACAGGCAAATTAAGACTGGTAACATGTATTTACTGTTTAGTTTTAAAAGCCCAGATATTCATTTTCCTTTTTCTGTATTAATATACAGACACACATAATACCTTATCGCTTACACTGATTGTTTTAACTTTATTATAAGAACAAAAGGTATAGAAAAAAGGCAATATAGTAGTTGGAAAACTTTGAGGGAAAGCTGCCAGAAGCTCCAGTAAATGGTACATCCTGGGATCCACAGACATGTCAAGAACTGTATTTTTTCTTCATCTGTTTAACTGACCTTTAATTTTACATAACTGATAAACAACTTGTCTCTCTTGGATCCACCTCTGCAGCACTGGGTTTTTAAGCCTTGTATATGTTCTAAAAGCCTTCAGGTATTTTTATACACCTATAATGCTTACACAATGTAAACATGATGGTTAAAAATTAAAATACTGCATAAACCCGACATAATAAATTGAATTTTCTTCAATATTAATTTCATTGTCAAAATAATTTAATGAAGGATAATTCAGAACGACAAATACTTTCTCTATAATCCAGTTTGCACATATACCATAACAATCTACTTCTGATTAAAAAAAATCCTTTTCAATGATGACAACTATTCTTACTGTTAATTTGGAACTGTACTACCTACTGTGATAAAAAATTCAGGTTTTTCTTCTTCCTTATAATCTCTGAAAGTGGAACAAACCTCAAAAGTGAGAACAAAAAGTTCAATGTGAGTGACCTCTGAGTTAAAAAGTATGAATGAAGGCACAGAACTCAGGCAAAAAAGTATTTCTTATTTCCAAGAGAAGCGCAGAAGACCTTTCTATGTAGTATAGACTACACAGCATAACATGTATTTGAAAGACTAGGTTGCTTATTTTAAAATACTTACAAAATTGATGAAGCGTTTCCATGGATTCTGATGAAGCTTAATATCTCCACCGTATTCAGAAAGTTATTTTAACATTAATTTCTAAGACAAATTTGTATAGCATTTGTTCTTAAATATTCTCCAAAATACATGTATTTATCACAACAAATACTAGAAAGAAAAGAAGGAAACACTTTCTGTAATCCTGCATTTTTCCAGACACCCGAATTTACACTGCTGCATGCTTAAAAATAGCACAATTGATGTCTGAGAATGGTTTTTCTCAAGTAATCCATTCAGTACCAATAGCACAGCCAAATGCAGAGAAAGTGCATCTAGTTCTATATTATGTCAGGGCTGGTTATTTTATTGATATTCCTTTCCATAGAAACATTTTATTACCCACTTCTGCTATGAAAATGAACAAGAAACAGTTCATTTTTTTCACCTGTTTGAAGCCATATGTCAAGAAGCAGCAAGGGCAGGCTGCTTGGAAAGAAAGGTAGAGCTGGAAGCCAGGAGTCACAGCAGGATGGGCAGGACAAGGCTCTCTCTGACAAGGGCACAGTCCCACAGCACCTGAACAAAATATCAGAGCAGGTCCATGACAGCAGCCAGAGCCAACTAACATATCAGTGACTGCCAGATGAGGCTGTATAACCAGGCAGATCTGAGGTCATGCCAGAAAGTTGAGTCAGCAAGGCAGGGCCTAATCTGATGAGGGTAACCAGAGTCTGACACAAACCACTGAGCTAACAGTCTTTGGCATAACTAGAATCACCAGTGTATATTTATTTGAGGAACTACGTTTTCCCCACCACCCTCATAGAAAATCACATTGAAATAAAGGTGCACAGTTCACCCACTGAGGATTACCGTGGGGTGCGACATCTCCGCTGTGACTAGAGGAATAATGGTACAACAAATCAACTATATGGAAGGTGGCATTTGAAGTGTATGTGGCTTGAAAATTTTCAGTGTGAATGACTTGCACAAGGACAAAGTATGTGCATCTCCTTCAGAGAAGGTGGTCTTGGTGAAAGACACAAGTCCACAACAACTTACAACTCCAGTGAGCATCTGGACAATCTCCTGAAACTCTGAGCATTGTGCTCCAAGGTCCCATAAAGAACAATTTAACCCTCCCATCTTTTATTCATTTATTTCCATGTCTCAACTAAAAATATTTCCTAAAAAAGGATTATATTTTCATATATTTAATGTGTTTCTCTGTAAGTTATTTAAAAGGAAAAATTTTAAAAAGAGAATAATTCCAACATGGAAAGACACTGGAAAGATCTCTACAAATAGAGTTTCAAATAGAATCAATGTTCCACCTAGGTTTCACAACTGGATGACTGTAGAAATGAATGCTGAAGTCTACTAAAATACAAAGACAATTATTCTGTCTTCTAATAAAATTTATTTCTTTAATATTAGCATTAGGCAAGAGATATATTAAGAATGTTTATTTAATCAACCAAAAAGGCCAATGGCATCCTGGCTTGTGTCAGCAATAGCGTGGCCAGCAGGGACAGGGAAGGGATCTGACCCCTGGACTCGGCACTGGTGAGGCCGCCCCTCGATTCCTGTGTTCAGTTTTGGGCCCCTCACTACAAAAAGGACAGTGAATGACTCGAGCGTGTCCAGAGAAGGGCAACGGAGCTGGTGCAGGGTCTGGAGCACAGGTCGTACGGGGAGCGGCTGAGGGAACTGGGGGTGTTTAGTCTGGAGAAGAGGAGGCTGAGGGGAGACCTCATCGCCCTCTGCAGCTACCTGAAAGGAGGGTGCAGAGAGCTGGGGATGAGCCTCTTTCACCAAGTAATAACTGATAGGACAAGAGGTAATGCCCTCAAGTTGTGCCAGGGAAGGTTTAGACTGGATATTAGGAAGTATTTCTTTCCAGAAGGGGTTGTTAGGCATTGGAATGGGCTGCCCAGGGAGGTGGTGGAGTCCCCATCCCTGGAGGTGTTTAAGAGTTAGGTTGACATAGCACTGAGGGATCTGGTGGAGTTGGGAAGTGTCAGTGTTAGGTTAATGCTTGGACTGGATGATCTTCAAGGTCTTTTCCAACCTAGACAATTCTGTGATTCTGTAATTAATGCACCCTTCAAATTACATGTATTGATTTGACAATGGAAATGATCAACTGTTTAACAATGGAAATGCAAAACAGTTTCTCCCTTGCAGCATTAATGTATGACAGACGCACCAGGAATACTGGCTCTTTCTGCTGCTTCTTCTTCTGCAGCACCTGTTACTGTGAATGACTAGTGGACCACTAAGATCTATGACCTATTGGACTCAGAAACAAAAATACACTGGCTTTTTGATGACTGAATATGTGTGCTTGATGCGTGAAGTCAATAGTGTTCAACTAAGTGGATCTGCATCTCTCTTAAGATGGATTCCTATGTGAAATAATTTCTATGTGAAAAGTTTCCCATTTAGCTGAGATGCTGCAGCACATAAGCAAAAAAGGAGAAAGGGAAGAAAAAAAAACCCAAAACAAACAATTAAAACAATATATAAAATCACAACATTGCAAAATTAAAGCAAAAGAAAAGCTAAAATTCATGTCATAAAACTAATAACCTTGATGAGGACTGACTCAAATTTGGTATGCTAGCACAAAAAAAAATATCCAAGCACTCATGGAACTATTTTCTTCCTATCCATTACATATTTATAAGTCATGAACCAAATATGGAATTCTGGCAGTTGTCAAATGCTTATTTTCCTATGTAACACAGTTGTTCTCCAAGTGGCAAAACAGGTGTGACATTTTTCCAGTCTCACCTTCCTTACTTGGACAGCAAGGAAACTAGAAATTATTAGCTAGGAAATAAAGCTTGGAACATCTTCTTGAGGGATATTAACTAATATGAATGAACAACTGGGCTTAGCTTTCCACAGATAACCCACATACACAAAAAAAAAGCGCATTGCATTTAACGTCTTGAAGGTAAGCCCTGATACAAGCATATTTACCACTGAAAAGTAAAAATGTTTAAGTAAATTAATCTTTATTCAAGGTAAAATTAGAAAATAGTAAGATAGGAACACTAAGTATTTGTCAAGACATCAAATATAGTACTTCAATCTATTTACCAGACAATATCACTCTAAGATTTAGCATTTATAAGCCTGTTGTAGAGGTTTACTGAGAACAGGTTTTTTTAAATACCATAATGGAGTCTATGCCTTAGAAAATTTTTAGAAGTGATCCATTGTATAGCTAACTACATATTGATGTTTACATTTAAAACCAGAAAAGAACTCTTAGAAACCTTTTTTTTTAACATTACTTGACATCACACAGAAGTGCTACCCCACGCAGTACCCAGTGCTCTGGAGGCTGAAGAGTTTTAAGATCCACAGCAGCAATGTAATTCATATCTGTTCGAATGGTCTTTTTGTAGACCGGACATGAATACAGACGTGGATCTTTGGAAGCTGACAAGACAAAAGAGACATAAAAAACAATGAAACTAGTTTGAAAAAACAGGGCCCTAAGGGACTGTAAAATAAAGGCAAATGTAAAATCGAATCGAAGTTCAATAGCACACAGCGCTCTGTCACCACTAAAGAAAACTCTTACTTGGTTCTCACCCTGTTCACTATTGTGTTATTGCCAGCTGAAAGACACACATGGCTTAAAATTCCTGTAGGTTTAAGATTTAACAGCACCACCTAGGAAATGGACGTAGGAAGAAATGTAAATGGGCACTCTAGCGTGATTACCATTATTATTACTTCAATCTGCTCACTGAACATTATTTCTTATCAATATATTATTATTAAGCCAAAATTAAAAATGCCCTATTTTGAAATGCATTTAATATTTCAGAATATAAATTGTCAACTTCTTCACTGCAGAATTAGAACAGTATTTTAGTCATACTTAATACTTCAGTGTTCATTATTTAGCATCTTGGCTGCTGCGACAGTGATCATGCCTCTTACAAAAGACCAGCTACACAAAATAGCATGTAAGCAGGCTTTGCTTTTGGAAGTGGAATGATTTTCAACAGAAGTTTCCAATTTGACATTTGACAGTGGATAGCCCTATCCTATTTTACATCCCTATTGAACCACATTTCATATTTTACATGCAAAAATCCCCCACATTAACCTAAACTATTTATTTTCACAAAAAAGCACTGTCCTTCTGCCCTGTAAGTTTCCTTTCTATTCTCACAGTCCTTTTCTGCCTCAAAGATAAAATACCTTCTACCATCTCACTCCACCTCTTGCTTGCTTGTTAGCTCAAAAATTGCCTCCTCCAGGAAAAAAAAAAAAACAAAAAACAAACAAAAAAAACACCCCATGTTACATATATAATATTACTTATAAATACTTCATATAAGATAAAAAACTTGTAAGTATGTATACACATATAAAGTTTTATATATATATAAATTACATTGGGTTTTGGGATGTGGGAAAGAGGTTATCTGGGTTTAGGTTACAGAGTTTTATGTGTATAAATATTGATCTACTCAATCTAGGACACACTGGAAATGGAAGACTGAATGTGAGCGTGTTTGTCTGAGGAAGCACAGAACAGCTCATCTGTAATGGGTTTAAGAAGTTATTAACACCATTAGGACCAGAAGGAAGACACATCTAAATATTAGGAAAAAAGTGTCTATTATCAATTATTATGGAAGGTTGAAAGCTCATTTTATAGGGAAGACGGGGAAGGTTCCTTTACAATATATTACTTACTGTTATTCTCTGCATATATCCTTATAACCGGCATCATCTCAAAAAGCACCTTGGGCTTTGATTCAGTCAGTCTCATATTTCTTCTGTCCCAACCAGCTCCTTCTAAATACAGCCCATACACATAGACACCTTCCAAAGGAGGGCTTGTGATATCATCCTTCATCCATTTAGTGACCTCATTGCACAGCACTACACTGTCAAGAGCCCATCCTTTGTTAGCCCTTGTTATTTCCTGCCCAAAATAGACAAAAGTATAAAGGTTACATTTTAACATGTGCACAGAGCCATTTTTTTGCAAGCATTTATTAGAAACATATATGTATGGTCACAACTTATCCTCTTTGATACAAAAGAAAATATCTTTTTATGATATCCATGTTTACAGCATTTTTACTTCTAACCTAGTGATGGCATGGTAGTAAGAGAAAACTTTCAGTACCTTATCCACTATATTTGATTTTCAATCTCTGTATTATAAACAAAATCTGAAGACCATATCAAGTAACACAATCACTGAATGATAGTGGTAACTGGCTCTTGTGAATATGAAAATTTCACAGCCTACATGAGATAAGAAAACATTAACTGCATGTGCTAAGTAAAACAGTTCCAAGAACAGAAGCAAAATGCATAATTTGGTGCATATTTTCTGGGGTTACCTTCCTTTTCCTGTACCTATACCCTTCATTAACTGTATTCTTAACAATGAGTTAGAGCTCACTCAGCTTTAAAGTTACATAAATAGACTGCAAAAAAAAACAGAATACTTAAAGACAGACGTGCTTAAGATTCAAGATATATTTCAAATTTAGCCAGTTAGTTAGTGCATGGACGACACTCCTTTTTCTTGCCCAGTCCCTTACTATCCCACGCTATTAAGTTATGTCAGACCTAAGTTTTATCCCAGTCTTGTAGAAGTATTCCAAGTTCTCTGTTTGAAGTAGTTGGAATCAATAATTATCCCGTACTGCAATTGATTAGCTGCTTTAAAGAACCAGAAGGGTTTAGTTTCAGTGATCACTCTGAACGTTCATCTTTTTCACTTCTATTTGTTCCACCACATAGCACAACTTAGAAAGTCACCTTGGTTTTTACTTGGGACATTAGGTTGTTATGTACCCACATTCGCTTTTTAGGGAATCAAAAAGTTCTGTAGATTCCAACTGTTTCAGATCCTGCGGCTAAACCCTTTCCACAAGCTTGGGTCCAAAGGAAATCCCAGTTTAGGACTGTTTACTCAAAACAAATATCTTGTTATATAACTCTAAGGCTAAATTCCTGCAACTGTAGAAGAAGTAGGTCACCAATTAGAGTTCAGTTTGTCAGCCAAGCATTACACTACCTAGACCCCAGAGAAAGACAGGATAATTTACTTCTCTGAAAATTTAATTCTCTCTTCCAAAAGTTAGTTTTTTTCTGAGGTCCCACTGGATTCCCACTTGAGTATTCTTTCCCAATTTTACAGATTCCAGACAATTATTGTCTCCAGTGTGTCCCTTTATGCCAACCAACATGGCTGTTTATCACCTCTTTTTAAAGTAAAAAGTAGCTCACATGTCAAATGCAACTAGCATGCTGAGAAACCAACACAATCATCAAGGCAACAGGTACGTACATCAACAAATACATCAAACTTCATGCTTAGCACAGATTAATAAAGGAAATTCACACTTCGTGAAGACAGAATCAGCTACTGAACTGAAGAAGTGTAATTTACGACTAATTCTGAGCAGCTGTTCTGGCAAGTCTCCAGCCAGGTAAGTACTGAACACAGACCAAAAGGGAGAGGGAAAAAGGGAAAATCAATTCATGGGCTTAGCACCTCTTCCCAGGAATATCTCAGTGGTGACATGAGACATAACTTCCCCAGCCTACCTTAATAATGTTGTAAGGTAGACCCTACATACATGGGGCTTGGTCAAATTAGGAAATACATTTTAACACAGTAGTTGTTAATATACTGAAAAAGTATGTGCAGAGGAAAAACACTTCAGTCAGGAAATGTTAGACAGATAGGCAGTCACATATCTTCCCTGCTGACATGATGGAGCCATGTGTATAACTCAGCCTTCATCACATAATATATATATTTTTAAAGGAATTATATAAAAGAATAAGCAGAGTGAGATTGTAAACACTATTTACCTGCCTCATTGCAGTTAAAAATCCTTGAGGATTAAAAAAACCCGTCATCCAGAAGCAGTTTGGTCGGCTTTCAAAAATCCAGTTATAAAACTGATGGTTTCTTTCTAGAAGCTCAGTAAACCAGAAACCAAGTGTACTGGAAGCCCAAGACGCCTAAAATAGTAAACAGCATGTTAAGTTTTTAATTTCATTCAACGGTTTTAAAACATCATATTCATGTCAATAAAAGGTACTTCCTCACAAGGTAGTAAACAACATACTAGAAAGCACATTTCAAGCTCATTTTTCATGTCTTAACTTTTAACCCAATAGACAAACATTGCATCCCACTGACACCTGATGCAAATTCTTACTCTGTTCAAATTCCTACCTACTATTCCTTTTAGATGTGCTTAATGCTCCCTGTGGTAACTGTCCATTTATGAAGTTTCTGCAAAATTAGATAACTGTGTAAACTAGGGAGAAATACTATACACATAGTCTTTCTAAAGCCACAGTCAATGCATCAAGATAACAGGATTTCTGCCAAAACTGTTCTGCTCTGAAAAAAAGTTAAGAAAAACTGAGCTTGAACTACATGAAGTTTGCTGATAACACCAAGCTGTGTGGTGCAGTCAACATTCTGGAGGGAAGGGATTTAAGATCCCTTCCAACCCAATCTATTCTATGATTCTATGAAATTCCATTTAAACTTAAGGGGTTTTTTAGTTTGTTGGTTGGTGGATGTTTGGTTGTTTTTAACTGCAAGGGTGATCAAATACTGGAACAAGTTGCCCAGAGAGGTTGTGGACTCTTGATTCTGGAGAGTCCTGGGAAACCTGCTCTAATTGACCTTGTTTTCAGAAGTGGGATTAAACAAGACTATCGCCAGAGGTCCCTTCCAGCCTCTACTGCCCTGTGATTCTATGACTACAAGACTTAGTCTCAAAGAACAGTGTAGTCGACTATTTTTTAAAAACCATCATCACATTTTCAATTATTCTCTTCTCTCTAGCTTTTTATCCTGCCAGTATGCAACAGGCTGTTGAAATAGGAAATACTTGCATCTCCCACGTTCATTTCTATTTTCATAAATGAAAGAGGGTTTGTTTTGACAGTGTTTATTTTAGCCCAAAATCTACTCTAGCAGTTGTGCAGTCCTGGTTAAGACGTGTTTGAAAAAAGTATTTACTGTATGTCTAAGAGTTTAATCTAGCACTACAGAAATATTTTTTTTTTCCTTACAAAACAGGTAATGCACACCTACTTTTTTCCACCTAGAAGGAATCCTTCCATCATACATGCAGTCTAAAGCATCCCTCAGGTTTTCACTCATAACAATTGTCCCATCAATGGCAAGTTTTAGATCAGTCAGAGTGCTTCTCACTAAGGAAATAACTCTCTGCATTTGTTCAATCTCCTGTCGCAGAAATATGTTCATAGGCTGAAAAGGTCCCATGTTCTTTAGTCTCTCTTTTACCTGTAGGTAGAAAACCAAAGATCCTTCAACAGAAGTAGAAAACAAAGGTGACTTTATGCCAAGATTAGGCTGCATACAATTTTCAAGACATACTACTTTTATTTAGGAAGTTAAATGGCCAGTTTGGCATCTTCTTTGAATCCTCTGCAAGACAGAAATACAGGCTTTGTTTGAAAAGAAATCTACGATGCTGAGACTAGCTGGTTTGGGTCTAACTCATGATTTAGTCTGTATATCAATCTATGAGCTAATGTCATTTAAACAGCATGTATGCCATACCCCACTTGGAGGAATTCAACTTTAATTCCAACAGACAGTTCCCAAGGTCCACTTTGCACAACCACCTAAGAGCAATTGCCACAGCTACTTTGCCTCAGCATAGTGGTGCTGTTTATGAACAATGCTTGGGAAATATCACACTGTCAGGTAGTCTTGTATTCTAATAAACCTTGCTGATATATTTTTTTAATCAAAATTGTAAAGTTAACAAATTATCAACAATTATATGGACATAACTAGAAATTTTGTAGTCAATATGGTCCTATTGGGATAAGACTTATGAGTATACCCCACACAAGGGAAACTTATTCCTTTGTAAAAACAGAAAAGAAGGCCTTAGATTGTACAAGTCTGCTTGCGCCTTCTCATAGCTCAGCATCCTGACAGGAGAAATTTGGCATTCATAAGTCACCTAGCCTTGTATCAGGTCCTCATGCTAGCTTTCATTAAAGAGTAACTAAAATGGCAGAAGACTAAGGATAAGAAATTTCACTCTCCTAAGAAGAAGATGGCAGGTGGCTGCTTTGGGAACCTGTTAAAGTACAAACACAGGTGTGAAGTTCTTTCTGATCACACATTAGGGTCATTCATATCCATTTCCTAACAAAAGTGTTTAAAATGCTTTATTACTGACATAACTAATCTTACTTGCTTTTAAGCTTTCACAAATATAACGAAACACAGAAGTTCAGCATGCCCTGACATAAGAAATATAGGAAACTTAACTATTTCACAAGCATTTTCCTCTCATTTGTTTAAAGCTCATAATCAGCCTGACTTGTGAAGAACTATAATGTCAGCATCCTAAAATTCTGGGCTCTCTAAAGAAAACTAAGAACTATGGAAAGACCCAGAAACAACACAAATTGTCCAAACACTCAATTAAATGGTAGTCTCCAAGATAGGGACACAGAATACAGTCAGTTGGAGTGTCCATGTATTCAGTTATCAGTAAATGTTTTTTAACTGTAAGAAAACCCTCTCACCTTGAGAGTTATTCCATCTTCCCCATAAACAGAATGAAAGCTGTTATTTCAGAAAAGTAATGACTGTAAGGCAGCAGGTGTTCATTACAAATATAATTACATGGGCTATTATGTGTTAATATGGATCATGAGATAGTAACACTAGGCTGCAATCAATGAAACCTATCATTTGACAAGCTTTTCAACATTCACTTCACTGAAGAAGAAAGCAACCTAAAATATCTTCAGAATGTAAGCTGTATCCCAAAGCGATACATATGTTAAAGCTGTAATACTTTTAAAAGCATGAATACACTTACAATAAACCTCAGTTCTCTACAGTGTCAACAACCTCAGCTAAAAGCTGATGATCTTACCTTCCCCATAGTGCAAATGACTACTTAAAGCATGAAGTGGTTTAATATTTTGAAAAAGCTCTTACAAAAGCACTTCAGTGTAAATTTAGTGACTTTGTTATAAATGTTAAGAGTCTGGTCAGACTCCTTGAAAATATGTATTTGAAGTATTGCCTGTATGAATGAATTAATACGGTTACTACTTTTTTTTTTTTTTTTTTTTTTTTTTTTTTACTCCACACAAAGCAAGCTGGAGCAATTGTTTTTGACAAAATTTCATTAACTCACTTCAAATGGTACATAATCAGCAGGAAGCTTTTCCAGCATATCGTCAGCCAGTCTGGTTACAACTGCCTCGCGGGTTTCACCTCCTCCACCAGAGCTATCTTTAGGTTGAATACTGAGGATGATGTCCAATACATCTTTGGAAAGTTTAGCTTGGTAAGTGATATCCGCATTGGGGTGCAAACCAAACACCTCTGGTGTGTCATAAGCAGGAAGATTCTACATAGTAAAATATAAAAAAGAGCACAACTGGAGATGGACTTATAACCTAATTATTACAAAAAGCAAACAAAAAACCACAACAAAACCAAATAATGAACACAAATTTAAAAAAGCCTTATATTGTAAAAAGGCTAGATCTCTTCAAATGGTCTTCGGGCAAATAACTGTTTGTCACGTGACAGCATAAATCACATCAATGTTAACAACAAATTCAGTTTCCTCCTCCACATGCTATTTTAATAGTTAGCTTGTACTTTCATATATCTATGCTTTTTATTACTGTGAGATTGTACTCAATGTCTGGACTCCATTCTCTGCCCTCTTTAATAACTGTATGCCTTTAGGTATGTCCCTCAAGCAAATCACATGAAAAAGAAAAGATTCCTGTCATGATGATGATAACACTGATGATAACAATTAGTTGTCACTAATTATGTAGACTGTTAGAAAGCAATAAAGAATCTGTGAATAAAAGACAAAATACAGGTGCTCAGAAGGAAAGACAAAATACAGGAAATAAGGAACTTCTGAGAAATGAGTGAATTGGTTTTTTGTTGTTGTTGAAAAGCTTGCATTTACCAACCTGTATGTACTGAAGATATTGATCCACCGTAATACATTTAGGTATGCTGTATCCTTTGTAGAAGCTGAATTCCTGACTGAATGTATTTTCACTGAACCAAACCCTTACAAAGGTGTTCATGAGTCTTTTGTCATAGTCATCTGTCACACGGCCACCATACTGGATCTCACCTATCATGTAACAAACAGTACTCCAGGAGATCCCCTAAAACCAAGCAGAAAGGACTGACTTTAGCTAATCCTCTATTTACATCTCCCTTAGTAAGAATAGTTGATATACCAAGTTCTGCATCTCTGTCCCTTTTGCAAGCAAGTTATTTTCTTTCTACTCTTTTTGTTCCTATAACCCTGCATTCCCAGAACACCTTCAAGGATTTCACAAAACAGGATTCATTGACAACTAATTCAAGAGGCTGTTCCGACATCTGGGCAAGAAGGATACAGCTACATTCCAATCATGATTTCAACCCCACTTAAAGTGCCAATCATAAAGTGATCTACTACGGACCTCTAAATGACAAGTGACCATATGAAAGGGAGAGATGTAAGGGGAATTCTTACATAGTCATTTAAAGACACTTCCAATTTCTTTATGTTGCCAAGATAGGTTGGAGGACCCCATCTTATTTTTTTATTCCCATTAGATTTAGACAAAATAATATTTTAAACACAAGGGTTCATTTTTAAGTATCTGACTTAATTAGCACTGAAAAGAAGGTATATACTTCTAAGGTTTATATTTCTGAAGTTTTCTGGAAAGATGGCTGGGAAGGATTTTTTTTTTTAATGTTAATGTAGAAATAAGGTTAATGTAGAAATTCAGCATGCATAGGATTAAAAGTCTAATTTAAGCCTGTTGCTGTACAGATAGGTATGCTTCGAATGTTGAATGTTTGTGGAAGTAAACAAAAGAAAAACTTAAAATCATGTTAGTGTTTCAGTTGTTGGAAACCATGTATATACATTCCACTACTAGAAATATCCATCATCCCAATCTACCTTCACCACAAAAACACATTAATTACCTTCTTGGCATCCATGCCATCTAAGTAGTTTTGAATGAACTGCACAGTAGCATTGAAATCAGCTTGATTAAACTCATAGGGTATATTCCAACCCAGAGATCCAAACTTGCGTCTTTCTTGGACAGTGGAGTGTAGAAAGGCTACAGCATACAACATTGGTTTCCATTGTGCCATGTCACTGACATCTAGTAAATCCTGGCTGACACCTATTGATTGTAAGTGGGCTTTATAAGAAACACAGTCATAGTATTTTCCAAAACTACTTCAAATCAGTGCTAAAACACCACTCCTAGAAATATTCAGTCGGCTCTCTACCTCCTACAAAGTGTTCTATGCTGAAGACAGTTTATATCATGTTATCAAGTTGTTCAAATTAAGAGTAAACTTAATAAAAAAACCCGCCACAATTTACTAATAGCTGAATTCACATTCAGTTGCTTTCTGCACAGACTCTGACTTTTATTTTATGTAATGTGAAGAGAACTTAATAGCCAACAAAGATTAACATGGCACTTTCCTGCCAAAAGACACAAGATCAATAATTTAAACACTTTAGAAGCCAACATCTGAGAAAAGAAAAAGCATTTCCTGTTTTGCTGTCCAATAAGTTCTGGCAACAGAACTTCAGCAGATCTTCCTTTTAATTTTCACAACTTCTAGCTCAAACCAAGGATCAAAACATGTCTTGGCATCGTCGTGTGAAGTTCTCCATGCTAGCTACTCTCAGTGGCTACAATGTGACCACACAGTAACATCAGAAAGTCTAAAAATGAGCAAAATTTAATTTAAAATCATTACCACTCTAGCACTCACCACTGTATGTTCTCCTCAGTCCAGCTCTGAGCCCTTGTGGTGGTTCATTGGTAAACTTAATAGACATTTGAAGAAGGGTGATGGGGAACTGTTTGTGAATGTCAGTTGTCATCCATAAACGAAAGCTTTCATGGACAGTCTCTGTCTCCATTACAGTGTCCATCAACTCATCCAAGAAGTCAAGTCCAAGGTGGCAGTTTTGCAGAAGTGCCCAACCTCCCTAATTTAAAGCAACAGAATATAAAGTTATCAACAATGTTTACAAATTGAAATCACTAAAATCACCCTTTGCTTATGCTGTAGGTTAGGAACAAAGCCAACACATCTAAGCCATAGCAAAATATAGCACATTTAAGTTCTTATCAGGGCTGTTAAAGGAAGAAATCCTCCACAACCGATTTTGCACCACTGACTCACCAAATCAAAACCAAGGCCTTAATCATTTGATTTCATGTACATTTCATGTACAAACAGAGACCAGTAATCACACTAATGGTACACATGCAATCAGCAAGATATTTTTTCTCCAAAAGATAGTCCTGTGGGCTGTTCCTGCTGGAGGCGATGTTTGCCTGTTTGGTTTTATCATCTAAACAAGTGGTCCTTACTTGTCCAGTCTGGTCTTCTCAAGCAGTCCCTAACTCTTTCATTTCAGCACATTTAAAACATATCTGGACATAACTATAGTGCTGACAAACACTGATAAATCTTGACTTACACAAGGAAGCACAAGTAGTTCCATAGAGGAAGCTGCTAAAACTTGTTCCTCACAAGGGTCACAGGCTTGGAAAATAACCAAATATACATGCTTAACCTATTGCTACTGGTCAGTAGATATCAAATTTTTCCATATGAATTATCATACTTCATATAGACATCTCACATAACCTCTCCGTTAAGAGGGTATGTGAGACAAGTGAGGGAAAGTAACTGCATTTCTCTGAACTAAACAAAAGCTCTTCTCCCCTATGTTTTGAGTTAGTTTCTTCTCCTGTGATCTGCTAATTAGCTCATAATGTGAAGTTGTCAAATGAGAATCTGAGGCAAAAGTCATGGGAAAACTGATTATATAGACAAGGAAACAGCTCATAACACAGGAGTGCAAGAAGTTAAATTTGTTCACACAGGCAGGCATAGCACTACAACCACCTGATCAGAAAAGCATGCTAAATTGGAACACTCTCAGCTTTTCTTTCTCTTACAGGAAATTTTATACTTTATTTCCTCTATGTTTCACTTGTAAAATGTCTGTGCTATCAGATTGCCCACCCCAATTCAAAATCCAGACTACAGTAATTCAAAATATTTTGCTACACAGCCTTGTTTTTCTCAAAGTTATATGACTATCGATAGTGTATTTGGAATTAATCTTCTTCATTTAACAAAATATGTTTGTATTTCTAAAAATACAAAACTGAAAATATGTTGTGAAATGCTTGATGAAGAATATTTAATATTCATGCAATCCAAACAATCAATGCAGCTATGTACAGCAGTCAACAACCTGCAACAAATACTCCACTTTATATGAAAAACACTGATCTCTGCTCAGTATCAAAAAGCTCATTATGGGAAATGACTGTGAAAAGACAGTTCTATCGCTTAGGACACTTATTTATACAAATAAATAGACTTGCATCAGCATTAACTACCCACCAAATAACTTTATTTCATGACATGACTTTCACTTCTAAGTGTTTAATACAGATACAAAAACATTCAAATTTTTGTCTCTTACATGAGCCATTGTCTGCTGTAGAAGTTTACGAGCATGGATTTCTTGCCCCTGGCCCATGGAAACATAACGCGTCTCTGTCTTCATTTTTTTTCCCAAAGCAATAATTGAGTCCGTAGGATCAGAGCCCATGGAAAGAAAGCATATGAGAGGAGTACGTGGATCTGACTCTTCCCATGTCTTCTCCAAGTCCAAGATGACTCCCTCTGCATAATTCTCCCCCATAGTTTCAATGATGTATTTTCTTGCCTATATTAAAAAGGGTAAATTTAACCTGTGATGTAATCATTTCATAGTTTTCTTCCAGTATGAATACAATCAATAAGTAAACTGAAGAGCAAAGGCTGATATACACTTATATCAGAAATATAAATATGCAACAAATGTATTTTTACATGTTAACATATCACACTATCTTTGAAGGTGTTTTTTCTTACAGCTTTACAAGACCAGATAAAACTTTAAAAATATTTGTTCTATTAAATATATCTACATGTATAGTTATATATAATACCTATCATTAAAGCACAATAAAAATAATAATTTCACTAAACCTTTAGAAAGATTTTAATTATTTAAAGATGGTATTATTAACTCCTAACCTTAAAAGTTAGCTTTCCTTTCCAAATACTAGAGAAAAAAAAGGAGGAAAGGCTGGAAGATATGCTTCAAAGCTCTTTCCCACCTTCACGCTTAAACAAACAATGAATTAATAATAAATAACTGTCATAATTAGAAGATCCAGAGGAATAGGTGAAGACCATCTCTGCCATTCCTTATTTATTTTTAAAATTGTCAGATTATTGTTCCTTTTTACTAAGAAATAGAAACAGTCTGAGATTATCTTTCTTGTATTCTTTCCCACTACATTGCTTTTGTCCTAGACCGATCTTCCCCTTTGTATTACTTCTCAGAGAAAAAGATATTTAGCATTTAATAAACTTAGTTTTCATAAAACCATCGTAAGATATAAAGTGTATCTTGCCCCATTAACAGAACTGAGGAACTAGATAATTTTGCATGATCTGTTTCAGACACATAGCACACATCTGAGAGATTCATTATACAGCACCATTTAACCTTCTATTGACCACAGTTATACCAATAATTACTGAGACTTTCTGTGAATCCAGTCAAAATATCCAAAGTCTTGCATCCATGAAATTAATACCATACTTTTAATGATGCATTCTGACTTCAGTAAACCGCCAACCATTGCTATGAAATTGTCAGCAACTGCATAATTTTTGTTCTTTTGCACTGGCAAATAACAAAGATTAAAAATAGGCTCCTAAAAGTTGATTTTTCTTAAAAATAAGCCTAACCATTTAATAAATTTTAATTTTATATTTCTCTCCTTTCTAAATAGATGGCTTTACATTAAAAATTTTGAACAGACCTTAATATAAATTATTCTACTTCACTTTTTGTTTTGGTTTTGCTCAGCCAACTAAGTTCATGAAAAGATTTTACTTCAGCCTAACATGAGGACACTTCTGCAATTCCAGTGAGTAGTATCAGCAAGGGCAGTCAAAAATACCTTCCAAACTGATAAAGCAGAACTAAGTAAACACATACATTTCCCCAGATTCCAGATGAAGTCCTATCTTCATAGTAAAATCATTGGCTAATATTCATTCAGTATGTCGGAATAATTTTGCTAACACTGCCCTTGCAACAAATGAATAAATTGTCTGAAAAGAATTTCATAAAATTAAATGTAAAGGTCCATTATAAAAGGAATTTAGCATTAAATATAAAAAAAATACTGAAATGCAATCCTGCAGCTATTATTCTACTGACACCTAAACAGACCATGTTGGCTATATAAATGTACCTGAGCTATGGTCCTGTCAGGACACCAAGATCTGATAAGAAGAAGATGTCTGAAGCAGTCCAAGGATTGACCATAGCCACTAGGAAGCAGTTCTTCTTCAGGATTCTCACTATCAAACCAGATTTTCCACTGTTTCTCTGCTCTCGAAATCTGCAGTTATACCATCAAATGAGCAAATTTCACAGAAAAGTCCCATTTCAACTGCTACTAGGTCACAAACTTTTAATGAGGGTCAGAGACGGGTAATCCACACACAGGTATTTGTTTAGCAACGTTAGTACACGTATTTAGTAAGGCTAATCAAAAAAAGAGAGTATAAGCTTTCAGATTTTAAGTACAAAATTGTAGAATGCAACAATGCCCTTAAGCATTCATACTCTGAAAAAATGAACTACTACTCAGTATTTTCCATGAATGACATATTGGCATAGGAAGGTCAGAACAGATAGCTAGGCTCAGAGATAGCTTTGAGAACACTTAGGTACATATCCGCTCCCCACATGGCTGTACAGAAGGTACTCTTCACATATACTAAATATTATTTACTTACTTCGTTAGCTAACATACATCTATACAAGTGCTGAACACCTTTCCCCTAACTCTTACTCCACGTCAGCAGAGAAATATTGGAAGAAGCATCCTAAAACATAGTGTAAGAAAGCACAATAGGGATGCAAGAAAGTCTAACAACTGGAAGAAGCTTCAAGTTGAATTATGTGAATTGGATAATAGTAAGTTGTATCTCAGTCTGAAAGTATTATAATTATATAGGGTACAAAACGTTCTATTTTCTTCTTATTTTCCTTGGGGGTGGGGTGGGGGAGTGGGGTTGTTAAGTCTTTTTATCAATACAAGCTGATAAGCAGTCCGTGCCACAACTGTGGCTATCTGCTCTCAGTTTCATTCTGTTCTACAAAATAAACCAATTTCCCACCACATGCCTAGATCACTATCAGACGGTCACTATCAAATACGAGATACATTTTAAAAAGCTCTGACTTACCTGATCAAGAATATCTGAAAAATGTTTAAGCTTACTGAGCTCCACCAAGTTCAGCCATGTCATATCCAGAATCCATTTAGCCGGTTTAGGAGGACAAGCTTTAAGGTCTAGGGAAGCACCACCTGCCAGAAATTAGGAATCAGTTGCAATTAGAACTGTTGGAGACACATAAAAGACAAAAAAAAACCAAAACAAACAAACAAAGGACCTAAAAAAAGGACCTATTTGTAAAATATAAACTAGATACTAGAACTAGTCATTTCACATTTCACATGACTAAGTATTCCCAGTCCGGAGAAATAACTAAGAACGGTAATAAAGAAATTTCTGAGTTAGGTAACATGCAAAATTTGTTTTAAAATCTTATTTTTCATCTTACTTTAAAACATTTTTTTTTTAAATCCATAACAGCTTCCCGTTACAACATACATCAGTTTTTCACTGTAAAAGAATAAGCTTCAGTTGGAAAAAAAACCCAAAAACTGAAGATGCTTAATTTCAGTGGTTTTTTCTTTGATTTTTTTGTTGTTGTAGATACGGTAATAAGTTGGTCAATATGCACATTTGCCTTCCCTAGAATTCAGCTGAAGCTAAAAAAAAAGCAAACATACAAGAAAAAGAAAACACAAGCTACAAGAATCCAGATTTTTAATCTGGTTAACAGGGTTTTTCTACCTTAAAAAGTCATGCCATCTTTGGTGAAGCAGATTTTGTAGTCTGGTTAGTTTACACTAATTACTTTTTTTTATGTTGTACCTTAATTATAATCTTTGTTAACCAGTTTCTCTTTTGAGGCTTTACTATTTTTTTGTGCAATGTGCCTGGAAATAAATGCTTGTTGGGAAAAGATATTCTGAAGGTTCAACATGGAAAAATTAATTTATAATCCATAAATAAATGTTACTTGTAAAATTAAGTATCCTGGAATGGTAATACAAAATTACCCCAAGCTTTTAAGTGAAGATACACGGTGCTTGTATACATTAAGACGAAAGCCATGAACTTGTCACATTCAGCTAAGAGACTGATATATTTTAAATTGTTAGCATCATTTTCTGTTCCTATTTGCCTACTGATCCTCCTGTTGTTACCAAATAAACTAAAATATATTTAGCATAATAATAATTTTCCTAAGCCAAACACATACCTGGTGGTAATTGATCAGCAGACATAAACATCAACTGAAAGAATACTTAGTGATTTTCTTTTTAAACTCTCACAATTCTCAAAGCTGTATTTATCAATTTTCAGTGTAGTTCTATAAATTAGAACTACCATACAATGTTGTCTGTTACCAGGACAGAATGATAATCAAGTATTCTTTCAATTGACTGGCTTCTCACGTGCAAAACACAGCAGCAGGTTGGCAAGGAGATGTAACTCAGCTCACAAATTTTCTGCAATAATATATACGCTCTACTTAAAATTGTTCCATAGTTCCAACCTTTAATAAATGTCAGAAATTCTTCATGCTTCACTCTGTTTCTTTGTATATCAATCTTTAATGTAAGTAATAATGTGAAAAGAAATTTGTGCTCCTCATAGAGTCCTCTGGCAGCATATTTGAACACTTCATATGTCATATGTTCAATGATATTAGTAATCCTCTTGCTAGTTATAGGGCTTTTGGTAGACCTGTTGGAAGAATGTTGATTTGCATAGGCTTTATTAAAGGGAATACTATCTTAAAGACAAAAAAAAAACATAGTTCGGAACATTCAAAACATAAAAAAAATAATAGATTGCAAACACAGAATATCAGACGGCAAATTAGGAATAAAAAAAATTCCTTTCTAATCAAGCTTTTCTGCATAGCTGAAAATCACCACAGTATACTGTTTTTTAATTACCTAACACCTAGTTTTTAATGACTGCAAGTACATTTGAAGGTTCTTGCCTTCGTAATTAACAGACAAAGCCTTATAGGTACTTAAACTGACAATGCCTGTCAAAATTGCAACAAGTAACACCCTCCTTCTTGACACAGTTTACATCAAATCTTTACTATACCACAACCATCTCCAGGACTGAGTAAATACAAATAATACTTATTGTTAACTAAATTACCTGTCTAGGGAGCGGTCAAAAAGCCCCAAAAACTGTCGAAGCGAAGTCTGATACATCACATTGACCATGCTCATCTCAGTAATAAGGAAATATAAGATGCTACCCCGAGTTGCAACTGAAGACAGAAAAAAAAGACACTGTTCAAAATAGAAATGCAAAGCAGAAAACTCTCCTCAAGTACACTGAGTTTAAGACTAATGCTAACAAGATTCTTCAGTTGCTGCATTCTTTTCTGGCCAGAAAAATAATTAAACATTAATTTAATCTCTATTTATACATTAGAAAAAAAAATCTGTAATTAATGCATACTATGTAAAGCCCAGTTTTCAAATATGAGCATATTTGGAGAGCATCTGGATGGTATACTGCAATATTCAGATCATCAGCAGAACATAAAAAGATCGTTTGAAGTTCTGAGTATCCAAACAAATTTGTCTTTACAGAATTTTACAGGAGTCATATAAAAGCCAGATGAACTATGTTGATTTAATTTACCCTGCACTGATTTAACTTACTTTCAGAAGCCATTTAGTTTTAAATACAAAGGTTCTGCAAAATCTTCAATGATTTTTGGCACACTAACTGCGCCATTTGCACACTTCCTAAATTACAGGTGTAATACTTAATTCAGAAGAGCTTTTTTTTTTTTTTTCTTTCCACTTTTTTCACGTCAGTTAAAAGCCAAAAGACTGACGAAATGTGCTGATTATAATAACTTAAGGATCTATGACAGGATAAAGAAAGTACTCATCCAAAGAAATACAAAAAGCATTTATGATTATACTGGCCCCCTAAAAGAATATCTACATGTTGAACTCAAATATTCAGTTACATAGCTACTCTGATGACTGGTCTCAACAGTCCATAGAAAGCGTCAACATTTTTAACAGTTAAGAAAGAACAACCAAGCCCTCTCCTAAATTTCTTATCCAGCAGACTAGATAGACAGGTACACTTGTATACAGAGCAACGGGAAGTCTAGGGAGAGAATAGACCATTCCATTTTATAAATTCAACATGAAGCATTACATTGACTACCTTCTCCACCATAGCTCAATATGACATTTCCTAGATACATTTTACTTATGGGAGAACACAGACCCTTCCCACCCACTATGGTCTTCCTGATCTCATTCTACCATTTCTCTTACTCTAAAGTATTGCTGTTTTAATCATAGGCTCCAGTCATTTTTCTTTCATTGCTCCCTTCACTCACCAGGTCTGTACTCTTCACGGGCTGAGTTGATCTGGACTTCAGTTTCAGCAGAAGTTTGCAGTTTCTCTGTTACCTCCTCAGCAGTCTTCTTAGTGCTACTCAATACAATTATTAGACTCTCATCATCTGCCAGAGAACCCTTAGTGCTTGTAAGTCGGAACAAAAGGTTATCTTCTAGGTCTTTAATCCTTCTTTTGTTCATAGTCACATCTTCAATAAGATCTGTTCTTTCTTTCTCTAATTCCTGTTGGAACACGTGGTAATATTTGGAAAACAGAAGAACAATCAAAAATAAAAAACAAAATAAAATAAGGTATTTAGTTCTAAAACTACTGTGATCCTAGTAAAACAGTGCAGGTGAAGAGCAACTGCAATAATTTGGGGATTTTTAGTGGTATTTCTGACAGCAGGTCTAAACCACATTTCTGAACCTGCTACATAAGTATGCAAATCATTTCAACAAATACTATGGAGCATACTCATATCATGCCTAATACAATTAGAAGTTCAGAATGGAAATTATTTTTCTTTATCTGTTTCAGACAGAGACAAGTGCAAACACCTTTTCAGGCACAGGGTTTTATTTCACTCCATCTAATGCCATCTTCATTTATGCCTTGTTTTTCCAATCACCATATTGAAATTATAGCCTTCGTAATAATGGGCACCCTTAGTCAACAAATCAAACATCAAGTATTTCACAAAGTGCATCTAAAAATACTCCTCCATCAACAGGGATAACTTCAGACTTTCACTAAAACACTTCATTGATTAAGAAAAGAAAGCATGTAGAACACAAACTGAGTCACTTCACTAGAAGTATTTAGTTGATTACTTTTAGTAATATAAGCTGGACAGTGGTTTATATACCTAATTCGGTATTGAGCGGTCTTATATAAAAGATGGATACCTGTTGATTAACAGCTTTACATTGGGAAAAAAAAAAAAAAAAAAAAAAAAAAAAAAAAAAAAAAAAAACATTCTTATACTACTCTTAAAATTAAATTTTAAGAACTTATTACAGATTAATCCTTCAGAGATAAAAATTATTCATTGAAACAATAAAAAAATGTTTCAATACACTGAAGTAAAAAGAAAGAAAATAGAGGATGTGTTAAGTCTCTCATAAGGATAATACAAATCTTAAGAATCAACAATAAGTGAGCCAGCTGGTAGAAATACTGGCTGTGTCTACAGAAGTACTCCTTCACTGTTTACAAAGGTCTGGTGGATAGTTTTAACAGTGTCTCTCCCAAGTGGGAAGCTGTGTTCACTCCACCTTTGCTAAATCCACTCCAGCACTGCAGACAGGCTGCTATTATTCCAAATAATCAGGGACAACACTAATACATGATCTCTCATATAGCACTAGATGCATTGAGACCTGAGACCTTGGCAAGGCTTATGGAAAGGTTTTGGTCCCCCATTTGAGTAGGCAAGTCTTAAGGAAAGGTTTTACTCCCCCTTTCGAGTAGCTCTCATTTATACAGATTTGCAACCATTACAACTTTTAATTTTTTTTTATTTTCCCACATTCCAAACTTGTCGTCATCTCACTCCTACATTCTGCTAACATTCCTAACGATTACAAGTATTTAGTTCTTGTAAATAGTCTTTTTATCTTAAAAAGGAAATTTTTTTTAAATCTTCATCTCATTATGAAATTTAGGTTCTTTTCTTGTCACTGTACAAAAGGTATATTGAAACATTAGGTAGAAAAGATTTATTGGAACCATTGTCATGGAATAATATAAATGTCACGTAATTTAGAAGATGTTGACCTGGTTTCAACTGGGATAGAATTTATTTTCCCCCTATTAGCTGGTATAGCGTGCTTTGGATTTAGTATGAAAATAATGTTGATAACACACAGATTATTTTAGTTGTTACTAAGTAGTGTTTATACTAAGTCAAGGATTCTTAAGCTCCTTGTGCCCTGCCAGCAGGAAGGCTAGAGAGGCACAAGAAGCTGGGAGGGGACACAGCCTGGACAGGTGACCCAAACTGGCCAAAGGAATATTCCATGATGTCATGCACAGTATATAAACTGGAAGAAGTTGGCCAGGAGTGGCAGGTTGCTGTTCAGGGACTGGCTGAGCATCAGCCAGCAGGTTGGGAGCAATTGCATTGTGCATCACTTGTTTATCTTGGGTTTTATTTCACTCTCTTTTTGTTGTCTTCCTTTTCATCATCGTCATTATTATTTTTAATTCCATTATTAAACTATCTTTATCTCAACCCATGAGTTTTACTTGTTTTCAATGTTCCTCGGCACGGGCAGGGATTGACCGAGCGGCTGCATGGTGGTTAGTTGCCGGCTGGTGTTAAACCACAACAATGTACATATAGACTCAAAATATTCTGACAAAAACAGATTAAAAAAGACAAAAGAACTACAGTTAACTCCATTTCAATCAACTGATGCTTAATGGAACTAGAGAAAAGTAGGTAGCAATTATGAAGCAAGACAAGTATTATGCAAGTTTGATGAGGCAGAAACAATTTTTAAAAGTATAGCATTAAAAGAATGTTAGTATCCAATTAAATATAATAATTATCATGCTAATAAATCACTCTGAGCTAAATTAAATTTCATGTTTTGCTGAGTTCAATTTAAAAGGTTAAACATATTTTAGAGTGCAATGCATTTAAAAAACAGAAAGCTAAGTTTTCCTCACGAGAGTCTGAGAAACAAGCAGGAAACAGAATGACCAAACTAAAGCAAGTTAAGTAGCCTGAGATGAAAACCTTGGTGAAAAATCCATCTATTCAGCTTTTAAAATACTTTTTACAGATCAGGAAGAGTACATAGATGAAAGCTTTCATCATGTTTTCATAAATTTCCAGTTGTAAATTCAAAGATGCAAAAAAACTAAGCCAAGTTACTAAACACGTGAATTCAAGGAACTTGCACCAACAAGACTATTTCAACTACAGCTTTATGGAATTGCTTTACACAAGCTGACGTCATTTTACAGGTTGTACCAAAGAATGCTCGATCTTGTTAATATTCATAACATGTAAAAGCTGCTACATAGCTTATATTGTTCTGTCATAAAATGATTCACGAGTGCAAGAATTTCCATTAACTGTTCCTCACAAATCCTGAGCCTTTTTCCACCACAAATCTTGAAATATGAATGTGAAAACTCAAAAAGCTATAAACAGTTCTTTTATTTTATAACTCCACTACTAATCTGACATATCTATTTCTACAACACTAAATAAGCAAGTTTTTTGCATAACAACCAATGTATCAAAGCAATCATATTAATAAAACAGTACAAGTTATACTACATTCAGATATATATCAAGTCTCTCAAATCCAATTATCCCAAGAAATAGAGTAGAATGAAAATTATACAGATATAACAGCTACTCTTTGACCTTCTTATCCTTAGCTAACATCTTGCAAATCAGTCTAATGTTCTGGTGGAAAGAAAAAATCAGTACCAGTATTCTTATCATAATAAATCAATTTTTTGAGATTTATGCCACACAGATTCTACCAGTGGACCTACCAGACAACACAGGAATTGGAAAGTCAAACTTTACAGAGACTTTAGATGATGTGCTGTAAACCCTCCTTTTCCTCTCTGCATGTCTAAATCTCATTCATCAGAAATGCAGAACTATGTTAGAGACAGTGGAATGGCAACAAGGATATCAATGTATGTACAAATCTTGAAGAACAATAACTTCAGACAAATAATCTCTTCTCTTTTGGGGGCAGAAGTTCCACACATACATTCTAACACTGCATATCACCAAGCAGTCATACTGCTCAAATCATCTGGCAAACTGTCTCACAATTAAATAATTCCATCTCCCTACCAAAGGCTACAAGAAGGTAGCAAGAATCCAGACACTTAAGAGGGAAATCCCCAAATTCCCACAGATGCATAACCCCAATATCATAGGGGGAAAAAAAAAAAAAAAAAAAAAAAAAATTTGACTCCAGGAAACCTTGAACCACTGGGTGCAAAAACAGAGGCCAAGCAAACTGAAAAGTAGTAAGTCTATTCTATGAAAGTCCCCCTGCCTGTCCACTTGCCATTTTTCTGGAAGAACTATCCCCAGATGGTCACAAAGAAAGCAGTAGTGAGTACACCACTCTGAGAAGCTGGTCCAGAAAGCACAGTATGTCCACCCATTAGATATTCCCAGTTAGTGGCAAAGATACCACAGAATAATAGAATAATTTTAGTTTGGAAGGAACCTCCAGAAGTTAATTAGTCTAATGCCCTGCCCAAGGCAGTTCTAAATGGATCAGCTGCTCAGGGCCATGTCCAGTTGAGTCTTAAACCCTTCCAAGAATGGAGATTCCACAGCATCCCTGGGTAGTCAGTTCCTGGTTTTGACCACTCTCAAGGTAATTATTTTTTTCCTATTTTCTTTTCCTAATATTTCCATTACTTAGTCTATTGCTTTGTACCACTGACAAAAACTAAGCTATCTTTTCTGTGTCCTATCTTTTCTGTGTCCTCCAAGCAGGTATACAGCAACTGTGATGACTGGGTGTATTTGTTGACAAAATGACTATCATCTTGAGGAATGTATTATTCTATTGCAGGGCTCAGAAGTTAAGTTTGGTATAAGGCTTTGCAAATATACACAGCACCATGTGTTTCGGACAGACAGTGTATAAATCCATTACGTAGTGGGTTGATAAGCTGTCATTGGTTGAAGCAAAGCTGATGGTTCAATGAAGCTGTCTGACAAAATATAAACCTTCGTAGAATGAGTAAGATTTCTTTCATGAGATCCATTGACATTAACAAGATGACTGACGCCATTAAGGAGGAACGTCTAACACTGGAGGGAGGTGGAGGTGGAGGAGGAAGATAGGAGGACCTCAACAGATAGCACAATAAGGGAACAAACACATTCCTGTCTAGTGAAGGTAAACTGGAACTATTGCCAAAATCTTAGTAAATACATGGTTATAGACGCATAGTGTCTCATTCTACTTCAACATTGCCTGACCTTAATAGTTACAGGCATTACGTGTCCAATAGTTCAAATGACACCAACCAGACTCCCTCCAGAACTCCTGGTGGCATGTTTATTGGGACTGTCATATTGAACTTGGACTTCCTCAAGTAATACATCTGCAATGTCAAAATAGGTAAGTAGTCTGTTTCCCTTGGAGCAGGGAAGTAACTAAGTCTGAACCCTTTACACCCAGTTCTGTTGCCATGAGCTCCACAGTGTGTAGACAGAAGAACATCAGGTTTTATTCCAGGCCCTTTTCATAGGCCATTCTCATGAGGTTATAACTCATTGAGGCAGGAAAAATAGGTGAGTATAATACATTTGTGACAATACAGACAAATAGAAACTTCCACTTGAATTAGTTTATTTCTTCTGTGCCAGCTTTTAAACCATCATAAATAGGTTATATTAAGAATAGTCACAATAGAGAGAGCCAGAAAGTTACCCTGCAATATGGGAAAAGAGTGTAATAAATTAAAATGAAAGTAAAACCTTCCAAAAATGTAGGGTGTATAGACAAGGATAAAGATACAATTAATTATTTTACCTGTTTCTCTGTGAGAATGACTCTGCCTAGGAGCTGATTTTCAAGACCTTTCATGGTCACAGTAAAGTCAATGATGGAGGTTCGAGCACTAATTTCAGGAGAGTAACCTGGATTTGGCAGTTTTGTAGTAATGTAAAGTCTGAAGCCATTCATAACATCTATTTCCTTATCACCAACCTTCACCTTAATAAAAGTATTAAAAAGAAGTCCTGAGATATTAAGAACCAGTACACACTCTTTCAGATACTGCATGTAGAAACAAGGTTACATTTTTTCTGTTCAAAGGTGTGAAAATCCATCTTTAAATTATATGTCTGATGAAAAGAATTTGTTGAGAATATCTGTGGAACTCTTTAAATAACTCATTCAAAGATTATTTCAGTTTTTAAAAATTGCCATAAGCAAAGGGATAAGGAACTCCATAGGTTAAATATATTAACTATTTGAGATCTTAAACTCTACTTTTTTGGTATTAGCATTAATCACATTTAAAAATTAGTTTAATCTTTTATAGTCATATATTAATTAGGATTTATCGAGGGGGCTGTTTCCACTTGTTTACTCATTTGTTTTAGATTTACCTTGTTGGCTGAGCCTGTTTTAATTAAGTTCCTTTCCAAAACATTATCGAGAGCTGGGTCAAGCTCTTCTCCGACATCTTCTATCAAAAGAGGTCTTCCCAAAGAAAGGCTGTCTTCTAAGTGATTTCTAAAATACTTGTGATTCAAAGAAGTGATCTAAAAATACAATCATGGACCTATATGTTATGCCATTACTAAATTTTGAGGATTTTATATTTATAAATTATTTTATTTGTTACTGACAAAAACAATGATCCTATAGTTAGACTAGGATTAAGGCAAAGATCGTGACTGCAGGAAAAGTTAGCATCAGTGTACCATGCTCTCAGAACTCACTGAACAGTGATTTCTATATTTCATCTACAAAAGTAGAAGCAAAGCAACACTGAGCACCTAAAGTTTTGATACCTTATGAGTGTAACTAGACCAGAAATTCACAGCAACCTGTTATCACCTTCAATTTTATCTTGGTTAACTTCCCCAAGTCAAACTGCAGCAAGGTCAGGATCAGGGCTCTTTTGTTGGGGGGGGGGTTCACTTGAAAATTAGGGGTTATATTGAACAAGCTACTCCTCAGTACAATTGGGATTAATCTTCAACATGTACAAAAAGCACATTCAGCTTAGTTTGCTTATAACTCTATAGCTGAAGCCTAATCATTTTTTAACATAAATAGCTAGGTAACTGTTAAAGAGTTCTGCAATAATATAACAATCAACATGAATTAAAGTAGCTTCCTAGTAATACTCTCAGAGCCACTCTACTATCATCCTTCAAACTCCTCAATCTTTTTTAAAAGTTGGTTTATTGGTGCAATCATAATTGTACCAAGCAAGGACTCTCCTACTCATATTTTCCCCTGTTTGCATTGAATTAGTGTATCTTGCCTCAGACCATATGCTGTTCCAATACTGTCTTCCCTGTATATTTGCGGAATATTTAGCAACTGACATCCATGCTAAGATAACAAAAATTATCAACAATTTCTGATTACAAGATGATAAAAATATCATGCTGTGCACCTTCATTTTTAAACATTTATATGAACGTATTTGGGATTTTTTTCTAATGCTTATAGTATTCTACAAACATGCCTCAGTCCTTATCAGCCATTACCCATGCAGCCCATCTTTCAGCAGCTGACATTTCATAAATTCATTAAACAAAATGTTTCACTGGTACTAATGGTACGGACTTCATTTTCATATCTAGCCAAATCTCAAACCTACCCAAATATATCTCATATGTCCTTTACATCCAGACTGGGCCTTTTATATAAGGCATTTACTAAGTGGTATTTGAATCACTGAATTTTAATGTTTTGTGAACTAAGAGTTTCTAGGAATTAAGAAAGCACCAGCATTCCTATTACCTGAAGTTCATTTCTGCCTTCTTTATTTTTTATCCAAATTTTACCCTGTGCCTGTGGATCGATTAATAAAGGATAACGAGATGCTTTAGTGACAATGATTCCATTCTGAATGGATAACTCATCATTTGGTAATCCTTGTAGGTTCCATTCACTGATGGTTGCAGCATCAGTCAACATTTCTATGAGGTTCAAGTTGTCACCAAAGGGGATTTTCCGGCTTTTCATTTCCTTTTGCCAGTCATTTAATAGCAGATTGCGGAACTCTTGGTTAAAAGGACCAGAATAGGACAGAAAAGCCGTAGCCAGGAGTACATCACCTTAAAAAGAACGAGAAGAAAAAGAAAACAAAACATTACAACTTTGACAATTCTATTCATGAATAACCTCCTTCCTTCTATAGTCGTATGGTTTGGCTGGTAACTGAAGAACACACTTTGACCCGTAAAGAAGACAAATCAGCCTTTTCTCAAGGATCACCACATAGCAATGCTACATTTCAGTAGATGACATATTTACTCTATCCTTAGAGTGCAACTGTGAAAATCAAGAGATATGCATCTGGCAGGCAGCCAGCCAAGGTCAACCCAACACACACACACACACACACACACACACACACACACACACACACACACACACCACACACACACACACACACCACCATTTCAAACACCAGATCCTGCACAAGCAGGACATGGCAGAATAAACTTCAAATTCCACTGTTTCCTTGCAAAGTCATGAGAACAGGCTTAAACAATATTTTTGGGGGAGGAAATAATCTTTATTTAGGAGTACTAAATGTGAACAAATTAATTACAACTACTCCTACTAAAAAATTGTAACAGATATCATTATGGGGATATTAAGTGTGACAAGTTTTAATCTTCTGATGAGCTTCAAGATTGCCCCCCTAAGTTACCTGACACCATAGTTCTGGTTTTTTCTGGACCTCTGTAGTAAGAATTCAGGATTCAAACTGGAGAAGATAGTGTACTTTTATACTGAGTACTAATATTTTTTAGACATTTACAAGTTATCTATAAAGCAAGCATCACGAGTGTGTGGGGAAGGTATCCTGTATTTTTAGTAAGTTGTTATACACATATACATATTATAACAACAAACAAAATACAACCTATCTACTATAATACAACGTCTACAACAACATCTGCTTTCTACAGCATTTCAAGGCAAAAGCCAGAGAAGAAACTTCACACCACAGTAAAGGACAAGATAAATTTCATTTACTTGATCTAACTAATAAATTAATTCCTTATTACAAAGTAATTCTGTTTCCAAGTGCATATTTATAAAATAAAAATGAACTTCTAAGAAACAAAAGTTTTATGAACATTAGTAACTACATTTAAAAATATTGATTACTACATATAAATTTCAGTTCCTGAAGATCAGTCCTCCTCTCCTCCATATGTATTCTGTTATAGATAGTTTATTGGCACTTGCTAACATACCACCTTCCTTGGACTGCTACTTACAATCAGTCAAGTTAAAACATCGGTGTCCCATGTACTGCATGTTATACATATCAAGTAAAAGCCCATGCAGAGCACACACAGTTACTGGTGGGGTTATTTTTTTTTTAATATGAACTTTAGTCTTATACTGTACCTTTTACCTAGCAGTGCTTTAGCAAGAGAATTAATAACAATTACTCTCATTTTAGCAACAGGGAAAGCTTAGTTGCAAAAGAAAAGTTTGACATTTCAAATGTTGTGAGTTTCACTACCCATCACAACTCAAGTGACTAACTTAAAAGCTCAAAGGTTTGGACAAAAGCTTACCCACTAGCTTCTTGGTTTGCATGGCAAAGTCTTTGCTCTGCTCTGTCCACCTCTCTTTTTCACCTGCTAAACCACTTATCAGACTTGAGGCAGTTTGCATTTTATGACGGCAACGCTCAGCATCTTCAAGCAAAGCCTAGAGAAAACCGTATACCAAAAAATATGGTTTACAGTCATATATGCAAGAGGCCAGAAAAAACTCTACAGCTAATTAAACTGGTAGTTAAGCAACAGCTTAAAAATATATACTCAAGCACTTATATCACCATGCAGATAAGGAGGTAAAGTGGGATAGAAAAAAGTGTATCAGGACAAAGTATCAACATCTGTCATAAATGTGATTCAACTTTAAAATATTTCTGCTCTTAACTTTCATGTTGGCATACATGTTAAGTGATATGCAAAATGCCTAGTATCTATTAACTCTGGGGAATTCTGTCCAGAATTTCAAATACATGATACACAGATAATATACTTTAATGAAATTTGATGTTACTGTAGTAGGCACTAAACAAATAATCCAAACAAAACCGTTTTTGAGGAGGTAGGACGAAGAGGGGGAGAGGATCACTGGCAGAGAGGTGGGATCCAAAGAGGCAGTATCCAAATAATATCTCTTTCTTTTCCTCTGTCCATCACCATTCTTTTCAAATAATAATGAAATTGAGAGAATGCATTAAGTTTTCCCTAAAGTAAGGGTGGCAACTTCTTTTCTGTAACGAGCAGTTCACCTGCTTTTCTCTCATCGCTTTTTCATACTCTGCCTGCACAGTATCTAATTCTTCTTGCTTGGCACCTAGTTCTTCTTGAGCTTTCTGCAGATCCATCATAGCAGTAGTTAGGCGATTCTCCTGGATTGCTAAATTAGCCTATGAAGCATACAAATACAAAAGTGTATTCATACACAGAACATCTCAAAGCATTTGCTAAAAAGTATCTCAAAAAGTTTTACTTTACTACATTTCAAAAATCAAACTCCTCAGTAGAGATTTCATCATTCATTAGAATTTTTTATTTGAATTTTACAATGAACTAACTTTTTATTGCAGGTAGCTACAGTTAATTAGTTGGTCCAACATCAATTAGAAAAAGTAGAAAAACTTCTGGGAATACCAGCCATTCTCCATCTCACACAAAAGTTAGTCTGATCTGGTGTGCAAAAAAGACTGGTGCCACTAGAAACCTATTTGATTTCTCCAATCAATGTGCTTTGTCTAATGAAAGATACTACCTCTAACTACAAATCTTGCTTCCCTCTCAGTCATTCCTATCATAAATACAAGCTATTCTGTGTTAAAAACATGCCTGACCATGTTCTTCCTGATTTTCATTCTTACCTTTTAACAACTATTTAAGTCTGGTTTTCTCTGAATAACACCAATGAACAAAGTCACTGTATAGTCATCTCACAAACTGAGATCCAGAACATTAAAAGAACCAGATCTCAAGTTTTTTCCTACTTAATTTTTAATTAAGGTGAAGCAATTTCAATACTGAATTACAGTAGATGACACCTGCTTCAATCCTATTCAAAAGCAGCCCAGAGGCATAAAAGTGCACAATCTCTTTCATAATTTTGACATCTTAGAAGTGATAGAACATTTGAAATATATTTTACTGTACAGTTACTATTTTCAAGATAATAAATTCCTACAGACACGTGCACACTTGGAACAAGGCAGCTGATGTTTCCAGCAGATGAAAACCTCAAATGCACACAGGTGGGTAGGAGAAGGAGCAAATAAACAAAGTTTGTGTGCCTCCTACTGATTAACAGATTTACCTTTAAAGGTAATACTTCTTTGTTGATGGAAAAAAATACAGCCATAGCTTTGGTCCATGAGCAAAGGCCAGCAACATTCCCACATACTCTCTTAGCTGTCTCAATGTTGTAGTCTGTCATTTCAAAATAAGGACTCAAAAGTTCTACCACTTCTTCATTAATTGTGTCCTTTGGAAACTGCTAAAAAAAAAAGTGCAATGTATGTTATATGTATAAACTATACATATATGTATTTCAGCACACACAGAACACTACCAAGATCACAAATGTTACTTACAAACAGCTAATATGAATCCCTCTGTATCATGCATCTTTGAGGGCTTGTAAAAGTCATTCCACTCTGTTCTATATTCTTACAAAATGGAAAAAATTTTGCCTTCATTTGTGATTCTCACTATTTTACACTGTCCATTACCATTACACAGCTAATTGTTGATACAAAATTTCACTGATATCTTGCTTGAAATGCTATTTTTCTTAAGGCTGAATACATAACAATCTTCAAAAAGAAAAGGAAAAGCTTAACTCTGATGAATAATACGCATTCTACAAAGGGCAAAGCAACTATCTTCTCCTTAAATTATCTCATTAGTGGAATGTGTTTCAATTTTAAGAATTTATTTTGACCCTCTCTTTTCTCAAAAAAAAAATCTTTTCCATTTTTCATCCCCCAAAACTCTCAATTTTCTCCCTCAACTTTATTTTGATGGTCAAATATTCTAGATAAGTTTGGTCTTCTTTAAAGATTTATTTGCAAAGTATAATGAGAATCCATCACTGATGAACTTGAAAAATAGCCAGTCTCTGAAGCACAAATAAGTTTGTTTATGCACAAGTAATGAAATGTTGAAGTCCTCCAGTAAATTAAAATTACTATGAGTAGATCCATTGCAAATACTACATAAATGGCATCCATGGCACTACCAACCACACAAAGCTGGTCAAGCCAACAGAAACCATCTGTGATTTCCCACTGGACCACAGACAGATTAAGTAAGAAATTTATTCTGAGTAGAATAATGATAATAATATTAATTTAAATTATGAGCAGGGATTTATTCACAGGTTACTCTTCCCATTTCCCTAGACACATGCTATGGAGCTGAAAATCCCAAATTTTTAAAAATTCTCCTTTTGTACATCCTAATAATCAACTGTTCTTTTGCAAGCCACTACACAAGTGCGATACTGAAAATTAATGAAAAGCTAGGTACCAGAAAAAAAGATGTTTTCTGTCAGCTTTAATGAAACAGATAAGTAATAGCTATTCAAACCAAATACTTAAAGCTTTGAATCATTTGTCACTGAAAGTAATTTAATTGCCTTACTTAGGAGAAACTATAATTGATTTATGACCTGACTTTGCCAGAAGGATTCAAGTTTATTTCATTATGACATACTTACTTTTAGACCCTTACAGTTTCAGATCTATTGTGTGTCTGATTCCCTTTGCACATTTTTTCTCTTATGAACACCAGAGAAAACACAGTCCCATATTTTCTTAAATTAAAAAAATATCAAAAAGATGGTTGCACAAACACCTGTAGGTTCTGTAAGAAGTTCCCTGCTGTCATCAGCTTCAAGGATTCTTGCCACGATGGGATGGTACAGCATTTTTCCTGATCAATTTTCACATTGTTCACTTTTCGCTGAAAGAGCAGTAACACGCAGTCCATGATACGCATAATGAGGTGAGGAGGTCGACCCAGTGTGCGGACAGTGGCAATATCTGCAGGTTTTATTGTCTATGAATTTAAAACAAAGGGTAAAGCAATTACTGTTATTGCTTCTTTAATAAGACATAGAATACAGGCTCACCAACAGTGCTAATCTGTTGGACAAGAAAAAAAGTTACTCATATTATTTTTAACTGAAAATAATTTTATCTCTAAAAAGCATGAAGCTAGAAGGACCCTGCAACCAGATTTTCACTATGACCTCCTAGCAACCACCAGGAAACCTCACTTCAGCCACCTCCAGAGCAGCACCTAAAAGCTTAAAACTACCATGCACATTTTTGACAAAACACAGCAAAACAGAAACATCTTGAAATTTTACCTTTTTTGAAAATGTAAATCTATTGACTACAAACTGAGTGTGGAAAGGAAAATACATTCAGCTGATATTTTGCAAATGAGGGAGAATTAAGGAAAGCAGTGAGAAGGCCTGATACACATATAGATTTGCACCTTCTGATTCATCATACTGGGAATGTTCCTGTTGTAGAAGCAGGCCCGCAAGAAAAACAAATACATTATCATAATGTATGAAAATCTAGGCCCTATTAAGTAAAGTCAAGTAAGCTTAGGGTGCAATTCTACTGCTAGAACTCATAACTCTAGCGTACATCATGAATCAGAAAGGACTATCAGAAAAGTCTACTGAAGATGTCCCCTTAGAGCAGTTTGAGCAGTAGTGCATACTGCACCACATACTGAGCAAAAAAACCCTGAACAATAACTGCTGATGGACAGGCCGAGTCCTGTAACAGACATAACTTGGATCAGAAGCTTTGCTTATTCACAGGCAATTTAACCACCCTGAGAGCACGACAGTGACAAACAGTAAGCAACAGGCTATTGCAGATGTTATGACACCTCGCCTCTAAGCCTAGCACATGCTTCACTGGAAAATTCCTATAGGAAGATTTTAATTACTAGTGTTTATATCTCAAGAAAGGGACTGTAAATTATTGCAGATTATCCTGATCCCCTTCCTTCTGCCTGCCATTTGTTCTTCAATATTTGGCTGCTTGTTGGGTTCAATGTGCACCTAGTAATTCAGCAGAGTTTTTCTAGGCATCTGTGTGGAAACTTTAAGCAACTGTTTCTTAGTGACCTTTAGGAAATTCATCCCAGCATTTTTTGCTACCACCTAAACTGTGGCATAAGAGTTGCATTCGATTTTAAATTATTTATTTATTTATTTCTAGCTACACATTATTGTGCCATGTTTATTGCAGGGCAAAGTATAACTAAGTTTTGTTGGACTTTGGCAATTCTTACTCAAACTTTAATCATTTAATCTCATTATATGTTTAAAAACGTTTATAAGCTGTTCTGTACCTAACTGTCTCTTAACATAGGGTTTAGCGGTCCTAAATATGTAAAAATGGAGTGAAATAACCAACGAAATTTATTTTTTTTTTTATCTGGGAAGTGAACTTTATATTTATCACATATTTAATAGACATTTGTCTACACTGCAAGCAGAATTCCATCACAGGAATTTCTAGCCAGAAATTTACAAATCTGTAATGACTGTGAGATTCATTTTTTAAAAGAAGCCCTACACAGACTCGTATAGATAATTTTCTTCCTTAAAGGAGTTTCTGAATGAATTAATGCATGCTGAGGATACAGATAAGAATGCTGATAGGCTTGTTTTTATGATAGTTTTCCTTTCCCCTTTAGGCACAGGCAAAGCAATTTATTATACCAAATGCAAGAATTTCAAGATTAAGCCCAACTACCTTTTCCTACTGTGAAGTCTCATAATAATGCTAGTGTAGCTTTTCCTTAAAATCAGACTTTTGCTTATTAGGATCCAAAAATTTCAAGTAGAACAGTATCTTTTTTTTTGTTTGGTAACTTTCAGTTACCAGTCTAATATCAACATGCAGCACATTTTACATCAACTATAGTTCAAATTAAAGTTCAAATTTGCCCTTTTACAAAAACCTGCCTATTCTGGCTTTGGTACTCAGCTGGAAAAGAAAAACAAAACTGAACCTAAAATGCCTCAAAATATGTATATTGATTTTGCATAAATTTTCTGTAAACTTATGAGTTATGCAATGCATCTGCAATCTTGTATTTGTTTTCAAAGAACCCCATATTAGCAGTCAAATAATGTTATACATGGTCCAAGTACTAACCTGTAAGGCTGCTTCTGCCTCTTCCAAAGCAGGCTTAGCTGCTTCCAACTTCTCTTCAGCAATGGCTTTGTCAACTGAGATACTTTCTACAATAGCTTGAGCTTTGTCTTTCACTTTCTGAACTTCACCCTTCACTGTCTCAGCAGCCTGTGCTTTTACAGTAACTTCTTTCAGTACCTAGAATGTAAGAAAACCCACATGGCAAATATAAAAGAAAACACACCTAGTCAAAGAATGTATTAATTTTTGATGTAAAATTTTACCTGTTGAATTCCAGAGCCAGAAAACTCAAACCAATTACTTTCATCACTGATACAAGTTTTCAAGATCCCCTTTTTCCCAACACTTAATTTCCTTTTACTTTATTAGTAATTTTAAAATAGGAGAAATATTAAAAAAAAAAAAAACCAAAAACCAAAAAACCAACAACAACAAAAAAAACACAAACAGCAATACACTTTGAAGGCTGTACATACCATGTCAGCTTTTTCATTGGCAACTTGAAGTTCCTTTTCTTTTACCTCCAGCTCTCTGCTTAAAGCAGCCACTGACTCAGAGGCCTCTTTCAATTTTTCCAGTCCAGTATTCATTCTGAAGTTAAAACGCAAAACAAGAAGCATGTAATTTCCTATGTAATTTACACTCCGCTTTCCAAATTATTCCATCAATAGAATAAATTATATCAAACAGAATGAACACTGGCAAGAGACGTTTTACACCAAAAATAAAACTTGTGCAGGAACTTTCACACAAGTGCCTGATGTCTTCAGAATCAAATAAAGAATTACATGAAGAGAGACTGTGACTTAAAACTTTACCCACTTCTAACTCAAACAGCATGCCTTTATCATTGCATAAAAATCCCACATGTTAGTTCCATATATGTCACTATCCCTGTTGAGCTCCAACCTGATACCCAAAGGACTGAGTTTTGTACAGCAGAAAGCATTTTCTGATCACTAGAATGCCATGAAATACCTCAAATCACCATTTCTTGTTTGAAGAGGAAATTAAAAAGGCTAATAAAATAAAAATATTGAAGTCAAGAACAAACAGAGTTACTAAAGAGAGTAACAGAAAAATAACATTGAGATAACACTTTTCTTATTCAGCATTAAAAATGCTCCTTCAACTTTGCATTTTGTCTATCAAAAAGTAAGTCCTCACTTGGGACCTTTCAGACAAGTTTAAGTGGCCTCTACAGAGGCTGCTATTGCGAAGGCTAAGCAGTACATGGACAGCTAAACAAATACTGGAGAACAGATGAAGAGTAACACCTACCAAAGCAATTCAGACCACGCAACTAAGGTTAAGTGGAACAAATTGACATGTATGAACTAATCTGGTGCATCTGAGGCATCAGAAGATAGAAAACAGGACCAGACCTCTCTGTTTTACAAGTCTTCATCCATAATGTAACTATGGATTTCTAACTCAATTTGGCTTTACATGTCTCAAAGTGAAATACACTAGTTTGAGTCTTTCTTAAACATTTCCAGCTCCAATCTTTCAAAATTAAGATGACAGTTTTTCTTAAGAGTGACACCAATTGATACACTAAATGTTAATGTTACATTCTGTTTGAGTATTTCTGGCATGAAGATAAATCTGCAAATAGATTTCATTAATTTAATAAATTAAATGAAAAGGAGAATGAATATCAAAACCACTTTAATAATCTACAAGTAAAAAGCTCATCAGCCTAAATTAGGCTCTATGATCACAAACCCAAAAATGCCAAGGGTAATTCTTACATGTTCATACCAGGAGCATACAACTGTTTAACAAGAAAACAGAAGTTGCTCTGTGGTAAATTAAATTCTATTGTGAATATATTATGAAATTACACATAGACATTTTCTTTTATTCATTATAAATACATGAGAATAATTTATATTTGACTTTTTTTTTTTCCCACCACCCTGCTTTTTCATACATCACTACCCTTCTTTCCTCTCCAAAAATATAGTTTTTAACTTATATGCCAACAGCAACTATAATATTTGATCAATTTACACCTTTAGTCAATTTTAGGAAATTTAAAAAAGAAAAAAGTCCTTTTGCTGTGCAAAGAGACAAACCACGCATTGAAACAAAGTATTATCAGGATATACTTATCTGGGGAAGAAAACTACAGAAAATCAGTAGTAAACTGAGCACTTTACCTGTTTGCTAATGTCTGTAACTCAGCATGCTTTTCTCTGTATGTGATTTTATATCCCTGAATAAAGGACATGTAGGATTTGGGAGTCACATGAGTAGAACGTCTGTATCTTTGGAAATAATCAGAACACTTCTCTGCCACTCCATCCTGGAATGAGCCCATACACTGTACAATTTCCCTCTTTGTATCAGCAGTGCAGTCCATATCAAATGAGGACAGGAAATGTTCAGATACTTAGGAAAGAAACAAAACATAAATGTAAGTAAATACTCAGGAAAAACTCTTACCTTATAAACAAGTCAATATAAAACATGTCAGCATGTATTATGACAGCTTTCATCCAGCTTCTGAAACCCTAGTCTTCTTTACTCTCCACCATCACAATCTTAACGTTATTCCACAATTCTCAGTCAAGGATATAGCATATTTTCACCTCCAGGTGTGCAACTGCTTTTTATCTAGCTGATAACCAGGGACTGGGTAATCACAGCCTTCCTCTGTATGCCTGATCACAAGCACAATTACTAATAATCTCTTTCTTTATTTTGCCTTCAAGCCATCTTCAAGGGGAATTTTCCTTCAAACCATGTACAAAGCTTTTCCTCTATTAGAAATGTTTCAACAGATTAATACAGCAAGCTTAAAGAAGAAAACAGGTATATCAAATTTTAGAACCAAGTAAGTTTCTTCTGCCAGTGTGACAATAAAATTCAAAGCAATTAAAAAAAAAAAAATAATGACCACTGATGAGAGAATTGAATACCTGCAAAGACAAAACATAGACCTACCTGCCACTAGAGCATCCTTAGGCCATCGGCTGAACCAATCTATAGTGCATCCAGAAATGAGAGCAGGGAACTTCAAGGCCCTGTTTCGGAATTTTTCACCTACTGGTGAAAAGCAAAGAACTACATGAAGGTACTGACGGACTCTGGTCATGAAGTAGTCATGCAGAACCTCACTGGTCAGAGGTCTACGTGGATGTTCCTTTTTGAAGGTGGGTATGAGGTCACTAATGATCTCATCTACTTCGTCACGTGCAAATAAGTTTGACACCTTTGAGAAAAATGAAGTATTTTCATGTTTTATAAGATGATCCAAAATAAGAGTACATAGCATAAGGTTCATTTAATAGATAGCATTACAGGAAGGGACATTTCGGACACTGAAGTTATTAGGACCCACCCCACTCTAAACTTGAACTTTTACTGAAGTGATTCCATTAAACACACTGAAGTCTAACTTGCTGTAAAAGTAAAACCCACCCTCCCCTGTGAAAAAAATGCGCAATCGCTTTGCTTTCTTCTCTTAATATTCTAGTAAGTAGTAGAATTTACTCTGAAACACACTCCTGAAATAAAAACTAAATAAAAACTAACAATAAAGGCCATCCCATCCATTCTGGACATAAATTTACCATTACAAAACCCCTGTACACTAATGAGATATTTAATTTAACAGACAATTTTGGTAAACATCAGCAATGTTCCTCAAGTCTTAAATTTTTAAGGTATTCTCATATCCCAGACAACTTGTCAATACATATAAAAGGGTCTGACTTAGAGAATTTCTCTCTATATAATGATGAGGTTCAATTCTTAATTTTACAATAGCTTTGTCTTATTCAAACCTAGTATAATGGATTGTTTCTATTTTTTGTAATACTGTAATGATAAAAGGTTTGTGAAAGTATGCCCCCTGACATATGAAAGAATATTTAAATAAATGAGGTTATTTTACTTCAGAATTGTAAAATTTAAAAAGCAGAAAAAGAATCATGAGAAGGCATCTTACTTCTCCAGATGATAAAACATTGTTCAGGTATTCCAAGAAAGACTCATCTTTGATCTCATTGTCTGTAAAAAGAAAACAGATGCCTTTGCCTTGCAGTCCTGCTGTTCTGTACAAGAGTTTCAGATCTTCCATCAAGTTTAAAGTGTTGTACGATCTACAAAAAAAGGAAGGTTGTACTAATATTCATTCCTTCTAAAAAGGGCTTCCAGTTAAAAGAAAAACAACAAGTGTATTTAAGTAAGAAATGATCTCTTGGAGTTTAAGGCAATAAGGTGCCAAAGTCCAGCAATTTTCATTTAGATTAGGAGGACATAGCTCATTTCATAGTCTCACATTAAATATCTAATCCATTCTTCATTTTCCTGCTCTCTTTTTCACCTCTTACATCAATAAAGAAATTTAAAAATAAAAATTATTTAAAAAAATAACCTACAACCCTGCACTTCAAACGCACCAAAAAAAACCCAAAATCAACAACATAAAACCCCCAGCTATTTATTTCTCTTTTGCTAGAAAAAAGTAAAAAGTCAGACAGGTGTCATCTCACAGGATTTTGTCATGCAGTGGGTGCAAGAAGATACTTTACATTTTATTGACTAATTAAAAAATTCAAACTAGTTGGCCTTTCTGATGAAAGTTATCACCAACGGTGCCACTCACGGTTTCACAAAAACAAAAGAGAGCAGCAGCAAACTAAGAGATTAAAAAAACATAAAAATTATTAGACAAGGTGTGGTGGGTTGACCTTGATGTCTGAATAGTTGTTTCTCTCACATATTCTCACTCCTCTTCTGGCTGCTGTTGCACAGTTTTCTTTCCCTCCTCCTTAAATACGTTGTCCCAGAGGTGCCACCTGCTTGGCCTTGGCACCTGGATCTGGCTGGCATTGGCTCTGTTGGACATGGAGGAGCCTTCTAGCAGCTTCTCACAGAAGCCAACCCTATAGTCCCCCACACTACCAAAACCTTGACACACAAGCCCTGTAAACACAAGTTTACACAGGAATGATATCTCTGGCTGGATAAAGGACTGCAATAAAAACTGAGTTTTCTTGGATGCCCACTAGGAATTAAAACAGAGAAGAGGTTGCATGTAACTTATGTAACCATAACTATCTCATGTATGACCTGAAAAATCAGAAATTGTACAACAGTTCCTCATTACTAGGGAGAAGATCAGGAAATAAATACACTGGGTTTATGATTTTTTTGTTGATGATTAACATGATTATTTTTTGTTTCAGAAAAGATATCATAATCACCAAGATAAGGTTCCATACACGGGTTTATAAATAAGACACTTCAAAGGCAAAAACATCAGTAAAATTAGAAACGGTCACAGAGAAGACACAAATATTCTATGCAGTTTTGTTTCAGCTGAAGGGAGAAATAGTGATTGGAAGAGTTATTCAGTTAATTACCCCAAATTAGACAAAAATACTGACCTGAAGAAAGTACTTTAGGTTATACATACTGAGTTAGCAATATGACTATCATCTAACTTGGTGAACTAAATGAAACCATTTGAAATCAAATAATTATTATCTTTAAAAACTCACAGAACAGGAAATTTTGAATTAAAAAAGGGCAAGTGATTCTATACAAGAAGGATTCAAATTTTTTCCCAGAGGTGTTCTGGCACAAATTATTAGATATGTTTTAGATGAGCACTTAAGGTTAGAAAGGCATGGAGTTTAATTTTATCAATCATATCACACTTCTACATTTACTTGTTGACTCAGTTGGAGAAATCCAAGGGGGTTGTAAGGCAGGATTATGTTTTATCATAATCTTTGATGAGCCTTTCCTAAAATCATGTTTATTCAAATCTTCACTCATTCTTTTTTTCATCATAGTTTCTTTAATTCATCTGGTGCACGCATCAGGTTTACAAGCCATAAAATGTGACGGTTTTCCAGATCTTTTCTGGACTCTTGTCATGGGCTTTATATAGGCCTTTCTGTGATCCTCAGGTGACAAGGGAACTTTAAGTGAGAAGCAGCACACCACTTTCTTAATTCAATATTTCACCCTCTAGTGGCTTCATAATTCTTTGTGAATGAGACCCAGCAATTTGGTACTGCTTGTTTTGTCAACAGTACTGTAATCTCACCCGAAGTAATCCCTATTTCACACAGATCCTCTGATGAGATCCTCACCAAGAGGCATCCACACATGCCAAATCTACAATTTCTTCTGCAGCCAACACAGCTGCAAAAGAATTAAAATAATTTAGCTTCTCTACAATGATTTGAATGCCAAAAATATTTCCTGATCATTGACTTGTCCTAGAGATACTTTGGGAGGTGCTCACTCTAAAATACTGAGAAAAAGGATTTACAATTTATTTTTTTTATCTTTTGTGAGTTATTCCAAAAGAAATGACCTTCAGTTAAACAATATTAAATAAGGCAAGATATACTTGGACAAGTCTGTCAAAATATTGACATATACATAACATCTACTAAATTAATGGGCAGGGATGAGGATTTCACCTCCTCACATAGGCATTACTTCAAATGGAGAGTGATTCCCCCCCACAATCCAGGAGGAGACAGTCAGTGACCTGCTGCATCACACGGACACACACAAGTCTATGGGACCAGATGGGATACACTCGAGGGTGCTGAAGGAGCTGGCTGGGTGCTCGCCAAGCCACTTTCCATCATTTACAAGCAGTCCTGGCCGACTGGAAATTGGCCAGTGTGACGCCCATATATAAGAAGGGTCAGAAGGATGATCCGGGAAATTACAGGCCTGTCAGCTTGACTTCAGTGCCCGGGAAGCTGATGGAGCAGCTCATCCTGAGTGCCATCATACAACACGTGTGGGACAACCAGATGCTCAGGCCCCGTCAGCATGGGTTTATGAAAGGCAGGTCCTGCCTAACAAACCTGATCTACTGCTGCGACAGGGTGACCTGCCTATTGGATGAGGGAAAGGCTGTGGATGTTGCCTACCTTGACTTCAGTAAGGCCTTTGACACCGTTTCCCACAGCATTCTCCTGGTGAAACTGGCTGCTCACAGCTTGGATGGGCACACGCTTTGCTGGGTAAAAACCTGGCTGAATGACCAGGCCCAAAGAGTTGTGCTTAATGGAGTTAAATCCAGTTGGTGGCCGGTCACTAGTGGTGTCCCCCAGGGCTCGGTTTTGGGGCCACTCTTGTTTAACATCTTTATTGATGATCTGGACGAGGGGATCGAGTGCACCCTCAGTCAGTTTGCAGATGACACCAAGCTGGGTGGGAGTGTTGATGTGCTCGAGGGTAGGGAGGCTCTGCAGAGAGACCTGGACAGGCTGGAGCCATGGGCTGAGCCCAACTGGAGGAGTTTCCATAAGGCCAAATGCCGGGGGCTGCCCTTGGGCCACAACAACCCCCAGCAGCGCTACAGGCTTAGGGAGGAGTGGCTGGAGAGCTGCCAGTCAGAGAGGGACCTGGGGGTGCTGACTGACAGCCAGCTGAACAGGAGCCAGCAGTGTGCCCAGGGGGCCAAGAAGGCCAATGGCATCCTGGCTTGTGTCAGCAATAGCGTGACCAGCAGGGACAGGGAAGGCATCTGACCCCTGTACTTGTCACTGGTGATGCCGCCCCTCGATTCCTGTGTTCAGTTTTGGGCCCCTCACTACAAAAAGGACATTGAATGACTCGAGCGTGTCCAGAGAAGGGCAACGGAGCTGGTGCAGGGTCTGGAGCACAGGTCGTACGGGGAGCGGCTGAGGGAACTGGGGTGTTTAGTCTGGAGAAGAGGAGGCTGAGGGGAGACCTCATCACCCTCTACAGCTACCTGAAAGGAGGGTGCAGAGAGCTGGGGATGAGTCTCTTTAACCAAGTAATAAGCAATAGAACAAGAGGTAATGAACTCAAGTTGTGCCAGGAAGCATGTCTTTCCAGAAGGGGTTGTTAGGCGTTGGAATGGGCTGCCCAGGGAGGTGGTGGAGTCCCCATCCCTGGCGGTGTTTAAGAGTCAGGTCAACATAGCGCTGAGGGATCTGGTGTAGTTGAGAATGGTCAGTGTTAGGTTAATGGTTGGACTGGATGATCTTCAAGATCTTTTCCAACCTAGATCATTCTGTGATTCTGTGAAATATTGCAAGATAAATTCTTAAAGGCATCATGGATAGATACCACCTACAAATGCTTTCAGTTCAGTTTACTGTGTAAAGACACAAACTAAAGATAACTTGACACCACCAATATTCCTTCTTATTCTGTGAAACACACAAAACTTAAATACTCCAAAGATGGTAAAAGCTCAGATTTATTGTAGGAAATCAACCAAATTTAGTAAGTATCAAATGGTTTTCATGTCTTTCCACTCTAGGCAACAGTGATCAGCCTATGTTAAGCTTGTTACTTCTACCACTGCAGAGACTAAGACCCTATTTTATTTATAGGAAGAGTTCAAAGTACTTACTTAAATTTTAATTAATGCTTACCTCGTTAACATTATCTGGAAGGTATCATAGCCAGCTATGAAAGATGCCAGTCTTGTCAAGCTCTGCTTTCCTGAGCCACCAACTCCAACTAAAAGAGCATTTCCACGAGGAGTGCGAATCACTCGAGAAATCTGTGTAAGATCACAGTCATTTATTGCTACAGTCTCCAGTATTCTCTGCATCAGGTAATAATACTGCTTTTATAATCAAATTTCTTAAGCTTCTAGTTCACTTGATTATTAAAATCCACAATATCAGTATGAATATTTGGTCACAGTGAAACATCTCTCAAGTAGATCTCCCTTTCTTTCCCATTTCATTATTTATCTTTTAAAGCAAAAGGCAGGAGATATCTACTACTCCACATTTCCCTTCAATTCAGGACAGTGCAATGTAAGCAAACACACTCTGCAATTCAGAGCAACAAAAATTTTAGCACTGTGAAATGCATGCAGCTCCTGTCCCTCTGTCCACAGCCAAAAAACAATGCCAAGAAAACTGGAAACAGGTAGAAGATGTTTCCTGATGCTGAGAAAATATGCCTTTAAGGACAGGAGACAAACACTCCACACCACATCAGATACCCATAGTACATAAAAGAGTCTACATTAATTTCCAGAATAACATGGAGCCACTTGCCTCTCTAAGGCAAGGTAATAACCAGCAGCTGTTTAGCAGCTGGTCTCCACTGCACAAGCAATGACACAGAGTATTATCTCCTGTTATTATCTTGAACATTCCTCTGATACCCCTAGGATTCCATCATGCCAAAAAGCAACCTCGGATACTTATTTACTTGCCTTTCCTCTAACATACATTTTTTCAAGTTATTAAAAACAGTCATGCCAATTTCCTGCAGTTTTAAACCCATATATTTTGCATATTGAGTGTAATATACTTGTTATTTTTCATAGGTGAATATTTTATAAGCAAAGATAAAATCAAGTACACAGTTTTACTCTAAGCATACTTAGTATTAACCAGAGAAAGAAAACTAAATTTGCACACCACCCTTGGAATATTGCTGATCACTTCAATTATGGCTACTAGATCATTTCCAGGCAGATGCACACAAAACTTAGTTATACTTTGTTCTCTGTTTAAGATATTCCTCAGCTTTAACTCATTCAAATCATACTATATCAGCTCAGATTAGGCATAACCTTAACTGTCCTTACCTAGCTTTCCCTTAGAAGCGTCTCAAGGCTAGCTAATGCCTAAAACTCAGACCTGCATGGCTGTAATGCTGCTTTCAAGAATATGGAATCAGACAAGCACTATATATATTCATTTTATCCAAGTGAAAGTTAAGATAACATTTCAGGTATTTACTAACTAGTTGCCTGAAGAGATTCCTGACAACAGGTGGCTCTTCAGTGGAGTTAAAAAAAAAAAAAAAAAAAAAAAAAAAAAAAAAAA